ACCGTTTTATATGGCAAGAGGAAAGAAAGACCTTGCCTTTTGCTGGAACAACCAGGGGCAAGCTTTCAAAGCCAAGCAAGTAATAGTGGGTGACTCTGAATCAAAAGCTGAAGTCACTGGAGACCCAAAACGATGGTCCAAGAAATGTAGGCGCAGATCAGTTGTGGAAACAAGGTAGTTTTATCCAAATCGTCATTATTAAGCAGCTTAGAAGGAGTTGGAAATGGACAGCAACTGGATGGGCTAAAACTAATTACTGGAAAAGTATAAGTGCCAGAACAATCAGTTTGTTGCAGGAAACATCTACATTTTATTAAATATATCTGTCAGATGAGACCTGATTGGGTTTATTCGTGGCTCATATCTCTTTAGTTCCAAATGTTAAAGAACAGTCTAACTAGCTGTCAGATGTTGTCATTCAGAGTTGGATTGGGTACCTGACAGTTTGAAGAAAGAAAAGGGTATCCTCAGTACAAGCTGTTGCACTTCTGTAAATCAATGTGTCTAGTATGCTGGGAAATCTGGCTTCATATTCCTATTTAATTATTTTCAAAATTCACAGACAATCCTTCAAAACTGGCCTTTCTCATGCGTTTTAAGAAATCAAGTCCTTAATTTTTTTTTTTTAAATCGTATATTTTGCCTGGAGAAATAGCCCACATTTTGCCTCTTGCTCAAATTTGGTGCCCTTGGATGTGTTGTGTATATTCCTCAACCAACAATTTGTTTGGTGTTATGAAAGTTCTAGTCCAGCACACTTGGAGGATTAAAAGAAGAAAATCATCCCTAGTGAATTAATATTTGAAAAACAAAAAGGACCAACTTCAGTTTCCTTTTGCCATCCTCTGACATCCTGGCCACTTCAGTTGTGCATCAAAATTCAGTATTCTTCTCAAGCAAACATATTTGACAATAGCACCACTGAAGTGAAGAGGTTTCATTGCAGTGTACATGTGTAATATTTACACATGAACAATGTAATAAGGTAATCTAGTTGTTATTGGTCAATGTGTAAATTCTTTAGGAGACAACTTACTTTAGATTTATATTGTTTTTATAGAGAGGCTAAAATTACAACCCTGAACATATATTGATTATTTTAAATAGACTTCCCCTTGATCCCACTATAAAACTGCAGAAGTAAATCTTATTCAAACAAACAGGTCCTAATTCTAAATAAATTTGGTTAAGCTCCACCAATAATCTAGGACTTTTAATATGATTGTTACTTGATATTGCAGCTTTTAATGATCAATGGAACCAGCAGATGAACAGAGAAGGAGCTTTATGTGTTTTTAATATGGATTCCCCCCCCCCCAGTTTTCTCACTTATTAGTGAGAACAGCTGTAAGGGTGAACTATTTCACCCTGTCCTTTCCCTCAGTGAGGGAAATCTACGGAATTTATTGAGGTTGAGGTAGTCTTTGTGTTCTGAGCTTGCATAGCTTCCTGGTGCCTCCTGTGACTTTTATTGTTTTTTCTTCCATTCTTAGAAAGCCAACACCATGTGTGATGAGGATGAGACCACCGCACTTGTGTGCGACAACGGCTCCGGCTTGGTAAAGGCTGGCTTTGCCGGGGATGACGCCCCTAGGGCTGTCTTTCCCTCCATTGTTGGCCGCCCACGTCATCAGGTATGTTTTCCCTTTTCACCAGCTGTGCTTCTCTTCAACAATAGGCAGACTGAAAGATACAGCATATATTGTTTTAAATTTTACTTTGCTGGGAAGGTCTGGATTGTGACTAAGGGTGAGGAATTAGTAGGTCAGATGACCCATTGTATTTCCTTCCTTTCCCAACTCAGGTGGCTCCATCTGAAGCCACTAAAATTACCATGACAATATAAGTCCCCTTAACTTCATAAGGTCTGCTATTTGGGGATCATGCACAGAAGTGAGTTACATTTTGAGACAGTTGTCAGGTCCCTGAACTGGAACTCCCTGTGCTATTATTATTTTGAAAAAGTGAATGTCCATCATAGCCCAAAGAGTCTACACTGTTTCAGATAAAGAATACAAGATAATAAATTGGCGCTCTGTAGAGATCATTGTAACATTGTCTAAATGATCTCTGAGTTAACTGCTTCCTTTATTTGTCCTACAATTTATTGTCTGTTTTGTGAAGAACTTAATAAGAAGAGCCTGATACTCCTTAGATTAATTTACAATATGTAGGATAGAAAATAGACATTAGAAATTGCTAAGTATTTTTTCCTCTTTCTTCCTAGGGTGTCATGGTGGGTATGGGTCAAAAAGACTCCTACGTAGGGGATGAAGCCCAGAGCAAAAGAGGTATCCTGACCCTGAAGTACCCCATTGAACATGGCATCATCACCAACTGGGATGACATGGAGAAGATCTGGCATCATACTTTCTACAATGAGCTCCGTGTTGCCCCTGAGGAGCACCCCACCCTGCTCACTGAAGCCCCTCTTAACCCCAAGGCCAATCGTGAAAAGATGACCCAGATCATGTTTGAGACCTTCAACGTCCCTGCCATGTATGTGGCCATCCAGGCTGTGCTGTCCCTCTATGCCTCTGGCCGTACTACTGGTGAGTGCTGGTTGCTGGAAATAGAGAAGCAAAAGGCCGAGTTCCAAGGGAACTCCACCAACTTCTTTCTTTCTAAGAACAAGCTAGTCATAATCCAACTAGTCTAGGAGATACCCTGTCACTGACATGGGTTTAGGAAAATAGACAAACTGAATTGTCTTATATTAAATCCATCTAGTTGAATAACGTTTCTCAGCCTCATGTACTCCTGATACTTTGGATTATATTGTCTGATTCCAGTAGTTCTGAAAAGACCCTGGTTGGAAAAGGCCAATTTATGTTTACTGGCAACGGCTTTTTCAGATACAATTTTTTTGATCTTCTTTTTTTCTTTGTAGAATGGACTATTTTAACTCTTGCACAGTATGTTCCCTTCATGCCTTCAATGGCTGTTTATATTCCTGGTCCATTCTAGACAATAAGACTTTGTCAGCTTTTATTTATTTATTTATTTATTTATTTATTTAAATACACTTATAGCAATAGCCTTCATTCTTTTGTATATACCTGCTTATTAGGGCTTTTGGCCCCCCCATAAGCGGTGTTTCTACAAAGTCAGCTTATTGCCCCCGCAATCCAGGTCCCGGTTCAGTAAAAGAATGAAAAGTTCAACTATGGGCATGACTAAAGTTTTCCCATAAAAATGTACATTGCCTCCATGTCTAGCCTACTGCTTAATGAAAGGGAATTCTTAATTGGCTAACATTGACTGTGGGAGTATTGGGAATCCCTCATGACTCCTGTAGTTGTGTTGTCTCTTCTTTCTTCCCTATTGCTATGTGTCCCATATCAACTTAGATCTGCAAGTTGGTGAAACATGTAGCCTCCATCGTTAAAAATTGTGTCTCTTCCTTTTTTCTGCAGGTATTGTGCTGGACTCTGGCGATGGTGTCACCCACAATGTGCCCATCTATGAGGGTTATGCCCTGCCCCATGCCATCATGCGTTTGGACTTGGCTGGTCGGGATCTCACTGACTACCTGATGAAGATCCTGACTGAGAGAGGCTACTCTTTTGTCACCACTGGTAATGATGGAACCTCCCAACCCTCTTCTGTTGCTCTAGTTCTTGGCTAATCCTGAATAGCTTGTCCATATTTAGAATTGGAAAGACCTTCTCACCAGCAGCTCTGCCCTCTAATTGCCCCTTAGTTCTTTGGGACACCACCTTGGAGAACATTTTTTTTTTGTCAGGACAAAGGAAAATACCACCTAGGCTTCTAAACCATCCCTAACAATGGAAGCTCTCTGGATAACTTTGGACCAGTTAGTTTCTTCTTTCCGTCCATGGGGGTATTACAAGATAGTTGCTATGGGAGGGAAAAATCGGAGGAAAGAATACAACATATGATACTCCAAGCTTCAGGGTGGAAGCAGGTTAGAAATAAATTTTAAAAACGTAATATTGATAAGGTGGATGACACTTCGGCCTGTCTCCCTCATGGGAATGAGATTAATATCTTCAAGACAGGAGAAAAAAAGTGATCAGGGCACATTTTTGCCTTAGTTAATTTAAGTGGGAGTGGGGAAAGGTTCCATGGGCATAGGGTGGCACTCACTAAAACAATAGAGTGAGTATGACATGGACAGAAATGCAGAAGAATGTGGGTGATGCTTCCAAGCTCTTCTACACTGCAACGTTCATCAGACCCAGATGGTTGTGAGTTTCATACTCTTCCATCACAACCATAAAATAGCGTGTGAGTGTTGCTTTGTTGCTACAGCCAGATGTGTATGTGCTTTTTAAAATTGAGTTTCAGGGTTATGCACCAGCTGCCTGCATTCTTTCCTCTTTACTATGCTCGTCTGTCCCCTCACCCTCCTACCCCTTTCTTTTATTCCGGGAGGACTTTTTTCTTTGGCTAATGGCTAAATTCTTCTCTCCCCACAGCTGAACGTGAGATTGTCCGTGACATCAAGGAAAAGCTGTGCTACGTGGCTCTGGACTTCGAGAACGAGATGGCAACAGCTGCCTCTTCTTCCTCTCTGGAGAAGAGCTATGAATTGCCTGATGGGCAGGTCATCACCATCGGCAATGAACGTTTCCGTTGCCCAGAGACCCTTTTCCAGCCTTCCTTCATTGGTAGGTTTCCTACTTAGCATTTCCCATCTTGTGATCCTTTACCTACGGAAAGTTTGTATGCTTGGAATTGCTATATTCCTCTTCTCATTCCTTTATTTTGTCGATGCCACCAGGTATGGAATCCGCTGGTATTCATGAGACAACCTACAACAGCATCATGAAATGTGATATTGACATCAGGAAGGACCTGTATGCCAACAATGTCATGTCTGGTGGCACCACCATGTACCCCGGTATTGCTGACCGTATGCAGAAGGAAATCACTGCTCTGGCTCCCAGCACAATGAAGATCAAGGTGGGCTTTAATTACACAACTTACAACTATGCAATGGAATATGGCAGATGATAAGACCATAAACAGCACCCTGAATTATAACACATAGTCATTTTTATTCCACCTATTGCAATGAGTCCACTCTGGAACATGAGATAAATCTGGAATCAGCCCAGAGTATTACTAATGGGGCTAATCATGCAGAATTATTATCAATGAGTTTGGATCTGAATTAGCTTTGGCTATGTTCCACATCACTGTTTTCAGTGAAATTTCTTTTGAATGAGTATTTCTGGATTGTAGCCTTACATTTCCCTTCTGTCACTTTCTGAAATCTTCCAGGATTCAGACAGATTAGGTAACTGATCCCTGTAGTTGATGAAGTCACCTACACGTTTTGCTGAACGCCTTAGCTTGCTTTTCATCTATTTCTGTTTGAAAAAAAAAAATTAACACAATTTACAATAAATGGCAGAAATTCACCATATAGAACGACAATACTTGATAGGAATTTAAGATACGAGATGCAGAAAGCTGTGGAGTTGTGTAGTGTTTTTTTTTAAAAGGATTGCATTAATAGTTTTAAATCCAAGCTTAGATTGCTTTGCACTTAAATCAGTATCTTGGTGATGGGACATAATGCTGTTCCATTGTCTATTTGAAATCCTCCTTGTGAGGTTCTGCTCTTGTTAATTAAGCATCTCTTCTTTGTTGTTGCTTTTCCCGCGTTGGCTAAATCTTTCCATTTGCCTCTTTCAGATCATTGCCCCCCCAGAGCGTAAGTACTCTGTCTGGATCGGAGGGTCCATCTTGGCTTCCCTGTCCACCTTCCAACAGATGTGGATCACAAAACAGGAATACGATGAAGCCGGCCCATCCATTGTCCACCGTAAATGCTTCTAAACATGTTTACAGAAAAGATCACTTATTATTATTATTATTACTACTTGGTAACTACTCTCAGGATGACGACATTGTGAAGCGCAGGCTGTTGAACACCTGCCCAAGCCACATTAAGGTTCAATTTTATACCAATGTCTATGTGACGGTTGCTGCAGACGCCATGTGATACTGAGTGTTTGTAAAGTGTACATAAAATTAACTTATTTTACCTCATTTTGTTATTTCTCAAAACAATGCCCTGCGGAAGGAAACCAAACCAAAACAAAAAAATTTCAAGAAGCATTAAATCATCAGTCATTCTGTCATGCCCCAACACAGCTGGCTTTGGTGTGATTTATTACTCCGGAATGTTTTGGGTTGTAATATTTCCCTGCTCAAGTTAGATCACTACACATGAAAGGGTTAGGGAGTAAAAGGGGTGGCAGTGCATAGCAGTGGCACACCATCTATAGGCTTTGATGGTAATCCTCAGTGTACACACATTTCCATAAATACAATGGAACAGGGCTAAGTTAACATGCATTTATCATTCCTATGACAGATGGGGAAGATGGTGAAGTTATTTGTCCCAGGTCACCAAGTGAGTTCATAACAGAGCAGGCATTCCAGTTCAGATTTCACACTCCTGAGGATTTTCTCGAGACAAATGTCAAGAAGATTTGGGTGGCTGCAATCATGATTTTATAAAACGCTTGCACTTATCATCACCAAACATGCATAATATAGACATTCGGGAGAAGGGCGGTATACAAATCCAAACAAACAAACAAACATTCTCAAGTGACCCAGAATTTTCCTTACCATTGAAATTTCCTTGATAATGCTATTCTCAGGGGGGTTTGGATTCAGTTCAACATCCCCCTTCTCCTAACTCTGCCAATTGTCCAGAGTTGTGCCGGGGCTGAGCCCAAGGTCTGTCCGAGCCCTGCTACGCAAGAGCCTTTAGCTAGTGCTTAACCAGCACAATTACAGCTCAAAAACATGTGTTCTGCCACTCAGCTCCAGCCTCTTCTTCAATTACTGGCTGTCAACCTTAGCTGAGCCAAGGATCTAAAATACCACAGAGGTCAATGCAGATTAGTGCCAGCCTTGTGCTGCAAAGAGAGACTCTCAGCTATCAGCTGTTGCCGTCTTTCACTTTTCTTTTTAGCTTTTCCCGCTGAAGGAATTGCATCAGCTTCTTCAAATTACTATAGTCCATCCAGTGGCTAGGAACTGAAGGTCATTTGGCTTTACATATGCCAAATTCATATGTCAGACCCTCTCACCCAAAGTATTACTGTACCAACCCTGCACGAAAGAGAAATTGCTTTTTGACTTTCTTACAACCTATGAAGGCTTCATCTCCAATATGCTTTTTTGGCAATGAATACTAACCCCTTGGTCAACCTTTCCCCCCCATCCCCTCTCCCACAACCATTTCCATCCTCAGAACACATCCCCTCATTTCTCTCTCCTTTGAAAGCAAGGCTGGTTGAGTCTGCATATTCATTTTCCTTCCAGGACAAACAAGACTATTCCTTGCATAGCCACGGTGGGTCAACATGAGAGAGACAACAGGTGCAAAGAGCCTGTGCCAACACATTCATTCAAACAAGCCCAGGTCACGATGTATAATAATGAATCAAACCCATCCTGCAAATGCTGCACACAACAGATGTCCAGTGGGAAATGTGATACTTTGGAAACACTTGGTGTCTGTGACCTGCTTTTCAGCAATAGGGGAGGCAGTTAAAGCTGCCATGTTAGCTATAAGCTAATTCAGCTGAGGCTCCTCCAGTAAGCCCCACCGATTGCAAAGCCGTGGAAATAAGTTGCATTTACTGGCACTTGTGCAAGAAATACTCAGGGACAACACAAAAAGGGTTTATGCAGGAGATTCTTCCAGCCAGTGGTAACTTTTGTTCATTCTCACATACAGTGAAATGACAGGTTTTAATTTTAATCTGCCTCATGTAATGGTCTTAATTCATTCAGGAACATAAAGATCAACCAAAGGATGGAACAGATTATTGGGATACTTAACGGTTGTTTCAGGTGGTTGTTTTTCCTATTGCAATGTTTTTGTACACAGTGTGGCTTCGAGCAAAGAAAGCTTGAGAATGATTTCTGCACAAGTAAAGACTAATGTGTCACAAAGCTTTCAGCATCCATCTACCTATCTATCTGCCTTTTGTGGAAGAGAAAATATGAGCTACATTTCTGATTTTTTCCCCCTCAGAACTGGCAGGGCAAGCTACTGTATATAAACAGAGAGCAAACTCCACTCCCTTCTAGGAGTGAAGATGTTACCTAGCTGGGCAATGAAATGTCTGCGAGCAAACAAGCAAGCTCAGAGAGCACCAAGACAGTTCACTCCTGGGCTACATATAAACTCTTCTATTGGTATTGCGGCTTTGTTTTGATGTTAAGGTTTTTAGCTGCTGTTAGCCACACAAAGGCAGGATGTTGAGATGGGCGGCCATACAAATCGGTGGTGCGTTTCAAATTTTTTTACTACTGGTTCTGTGGACGTGGCTTGGTGGGTGTGGCTTGGAGGGCGTGGCAGGGGAAGGATATTGTAAAATCTCCATTCCCACCCCACTCCACGGGAAGGATACTGTAAAATCTCCATTCCCTTCCCAATCCATGGGGAGGTTACTGCAAAATCTCCATTTCCTCCCGATCAGTTGGGACTTGGGAAGCAGAGAATAGATGGGGGTGGGGCCAGTCAGAATTTTTACTAGCAATTCTCCGAACTACCCGGAGGACCCGGATTGTGGGGGCAATAAGCTGACTTTGTATAAAAAAGAACACCGCTTAGGGGAGGCCGAAAGCCCTACTAAGCAGGTATATACAAAAGTATGAAGGCTATTGCTTAACACATTGTAAGACGCCCTGAGTCTCCGGAGAAGGGTGGCATATAAATCAAACCAATAAATAAATAAATAAACTACTCAAAATTTCTGCTGCTGGTTCTCCAGAACTGGTCAGAACCTGCTGAAATCCATCTCTGATACAAATGTCCTTCTGTACCTTGACTTAGTTCCTTGTTCCCTTGGTATCTGGATTGCCACTTGGTATCTGGATTGCAACTTCTTTATTTAAATTGCTGGATACCATAATTTTGTCTTTAAAAAGTGTGACAAGAACTCTAGTTGTAGAACAGTTGAATATCCCTTGGCATCTTTCCTTGTGAGTCACAGTTCATGATCTGCAAGCCCAGCTTATCTATTTTTAAAACCCTGCTGCTACCCACTGCATCTGGTTCACTCCATAACTATTCCATGTGTTGGAAGTGAAAAGCATTATTTAACAAGGTATTATCTAGAGATAGGCCTTGACTTATGGCCACAACTTGGACCAGAATTTCTGTTGCTAAGCAAGGTGGTTGTTAAGTCATGCCTGATTTTATGAACTTTCTTGCTACAGTTGTCAAGCCAATCTCTGTGAAGCATATGATGATTAAACAAATCTGGCTTCTCCCATTGACTTTGCTTGTCAGAAAGCAACTGGGAACGTTGCAACGGCAATCACATGACTCCGGGATGTTGCAACCATTTTAAATACTTTTAATGGTTATCAAGTGCCTGAATTTTTGATCACATGAACATGAGGGTGCTGCGATGGTCGTAAGTGTGAGGAGTGGTCATGTTGGTTTTTTCAGTGCTGCTGTAACTTCGAACAGTCACTAAACGAATGATTGTAAGTTGATGGCTACCTGTATATTCGTACGCATCAAATCCCTAAGAGAGTTAACAATATCACAAAACTATATATAAGAAAGGCACAGAAATAAAAGGTCCACATACAAATGAAAAGTTAGAATAAAATTTATTTAAGAAAGCCAAATTATAACTAAATCAAGATGGAATCAATTCCAAACTGCTTGGCAATTCTGGGAACTTCCAAAAGGAAATTACTATGGGGGTCAGTTAGATGGCTACTGGAAAACTACTGTAAAGCACCATCACAGCCACTGATAAGTGGCCCCACTGAGCCTCAACAACCTTCACCCAGTAGTGGGATTCAAATTTTTTTACTACCGGTTCTGTGGGCGTGGCTTGGTGGGCGTGGCAGGGGAAGGATACTGTAAAATCTCCATTCCCACTCCACTCCAGGGCAAGGATACTGTAAAATCTTCATTCCCTCCCCACTCCTGGGGAAAGTTACTGCAAAATCCCCATTTCCTCCCGATCAGCTGGGACTCGGGAGGCAGAGAATAGATGGGGGCGGGGCCAGTCAGAGGTGATATTTGCCGGTACTCTGAACTACTCAAAATTTCCGCTACCGGTTCTCCAGAACTGGTCAGAACCTGCTGAATACCACCTCTACCTTCACCTCCCTAAAGTGGAGTACCACTAGCCATTTCGCATGGATAGATTGAACCGGTCAGGCAAACTATAATAGGAGAATAAGGTCCTGCATATAACTAGACACCGAACCACACTTTCTTAGCTCATTCTTAGCACCGGATTCTTGAAAATAATTTAATTTACCATTTCTTTTGAAGTACAGGTAGTCCTCGACTTACAACAGTTCGTTCAGT